AAATAACTAAAACCTTAAAAAAAAAAAAGAAACTGGGGCACAGGGAAGCAGTTACCTGCCCAGCCAGGATCACCTGTGGTCTGCGGTCATGTTTGGCCTGTGGACTCAGGCCTGTCTGCCTTGTAGTTTATACTCTTAACCACGATATGTGAGCCGGCACGCTGCAAGATGGGGCCGTGTTTGGATGCTGGTGGGCTCTGGACACTGCCTCTGATGCCCTTGTCTAAGTCGGCCTAGCTGTAGGGGTCAGGGGGTAAGGTGACGATTTTGAACAGGTGGTCCCATGGAGGACAGATTGCTTTTCTGAAGGATGAAGCTCCCCCAAGTTGAACCTGTGTTGTCAGACTCTGAACACAGAAATGCAGATTTTTATATGAACTCTCCTGTTTTTAAAAGTCGGCAATCAGTTGCATTAAAAATGAAAACTCTTTTTTGGGCGAAACAAATAAATCCAACCCAAAATACAAAAACCCAGCCCAGTGGGTCATCTGTTGGATTTGTGATTCTTAGAATTAATTTTGGCGCATGACAAAGGGGAAGGCTTTCACAGAAACTGTTTCCTCCCTGCTTGCTAATGTACAGGCCTCTCATTTGCTGTCTCAGGCCTCCTGTCTGCTCTAAAACAAGGAGCCGAAGCCTGGTGGATGGTTACAGCCCCTTTCTGTGACTGTATGGAAAATAAGTCATGAATAAGAACGAGAGAAGGAAGGCCTGATTCTTTTCTTCTAGACTCCCGTTTGCTTCTCTGGGAATCTCGTCTCCTCTTAACACACAGGGTGTTTGCTTTGGGCTGAACAAACACAGCAGTTCAGTGATCCTGTTGGTGACACAAATGTGTCTGGATGCTCAGTCAGAGATGCTGACAGCAATGTGAAGTTGTCAGACCCAGAGTGTTGCTGCATGTTTATTCCTTAGCTGTCACTGATGGGAGGTCTCCTTTCTCTGGAAAGTGATACCTTGAAGTCAGGCATCCTTTGAGAGCCTGGATGCAACACTGGGGGCCCAGGCTTCCCACAGGTTGCCTTGATTTTTTTTCCTCCCAGTGGGTGAAGTGAGGAAGATCTCTGCGTGGCTTTGATTGATAAGATATATTTGCCAGGGTCTCTGGTCTGGATGATATTGTTCCCTCGAAGGAGCCACCATTTTGTAGCTCCTGGAAGTCCATCCATTATAGTCACCCAGCAGCTTTTGAACAAAGGAAATCTATTTCTTTTGTTTTTCTTTTCCCCTTGAGAGAGGGAGCTCGTGAGAGGGGGTAGTTTGGGGGGTGTGCAGAGGGAAAGGGAGAAGGAGAATCCCAAGCAGCCCAGAGCCTGATGCGGGGCTCGATATCATGACCCTGAGATCATGACCTGAGCCAAAATCAGGAGTGGGACAATTAACCGACTGAGCCACCCAGGCACTCCAAGAAATCTATTATTTTTTTTAATTGAAGACGTGCTTATATTTTCTTGAAAAAGTTTATTTTAACGAGTCATGAAGGCACACGGTAAGAGAAATTTCAAAGGACAGAAAGATGTTTAATGAAAAGCCAGCCTGTCCATAATCTCTGATCACCTGCCCCTCCCAACAAGTGACCATGGTTACCTCTTTTTAGTTTCTTGGAGAGCTCTTCTATATATACACCAGGAGTTTTCAACCTGGGTGATTTTTGTTTGGCAGTCTCTGGAGATGTTGTTATTATTATTACTTTTAAAGATTTTATTTATTTGACAGTGAGAGCGAGAGAGGGAACACAAGCAGGGGGAGCGGGAGAGGGAGAAGCAGGCCTCCCGCAGAGCAGGGAGCCCGATGCGGGGCTCAATCCCAGGACCCTGGACCCTCAGATGCTTAACAACTGAGCCACCCAGGCGCCCCTGGAGATGTTATTTTTAAGTAATCTCCACACCCAGTGTGGGGTGTGGAGATCAAGAGCGGCACGCTCCACCGACAGAGCCAGCCGGGCACGCCCCTAGTGACATTTTCATGGTCACACCTGGGATATGGGTGCCCACTGGCGCCTGGTGGGTAGGGGCCAGCAAGGCGCTGGCCATCCTACAATGCACAGGATAGCCCCCAGCCTCCCACCTCCTTACCCGCCCCCGCAAAGACTTATCCAGCCCCAAATACCGATAGTGCCAACATTGAGAAACCCCAAGAACACATATATTCAGATCTGTGCTCCACTTCCTTCTTTTCTCCCCACACCAAAGCTAACGCGTTCTGCCAATTGTTATCTTCGTTTTCATTAAACAGGTTAGCCAACCTTTTGTGCTTTTCCAGAACAGCACATAAAGGTCTGCGACGGTTTTATTGGAGCAGCCGTATTTTGTTGCACTTCAAGATGAAGTGTTGACTTATTTACCTGGGCACCTTCTGTATTGGCTCTAGGTTGTTTTGGTGTTGAAAACAGCTGCAGTGAAGATCCTTTTGGCCCACATGGGAGCGTAGCTGTAGGATGAGTTCCTAGAAGTAGAATCTCCGGTCAGAGGCCGTGTGCGGTTGACGTTTTGAGAGATACTGCCAAATTGCCCTCTAAAGGGATGCTTCTGATTTATGCTCCCTCCAGAAATGTAAGATCGTGTCTCTTTCTCTAGCGTTGGTATTTTTTTTCATCCCTGGTTTCCATTTATAGCCTAAGCTGTCTTCATATCAGCAGAAAAGTTCAAAATGTTGGCAGCAAAGGTGGATTCTGAAGACATTCCCGATATAGAAGGGCAAGGGTAGAAGTAGTCCCGATAAGCCACTATTAGCTAAACGAGAAAGAAGCTCTTCTTTCTCCCTGTGGAGGAGAGGGAAACTCAAAACGCAGCTGAAAATTAGAGAAAGTTAATTAGATTTGGCTAAACTCCTGAAGGTCTGCTCCCAGGGACCTGATCCCCGTCCCCTCCTGGCTTCCGGTGGTTTCTTGTTAGAATAAACATTAATGTAGGTTATTGACCGGAGAAACCTTAACTGTAAAATGAGGTGCTTTACGTTCTTTTCATTCCTCTTGATAATGAGTATTTCAGAGTTCAGCCTTTTTAGGCTACAGTTAAGAGATGGCATTTACTGTTAGACACATAGTTACGCACACACAGAGGAGTGTTCCGGCGAGGTGTCGGTCTCTCTTAATGAACCCTAGGTTTAGAAGGTTAACACAGATATACAAAGGTTAAGGCAAATCAGGAGGAGTTTTCTTTTTTTGGTTTTCTTAAAGATTTATTTATCTTAGAGTGCGCATGAGCGGTGGGGAGGGGCAGAGGAAGGGGGAGAGAAGCAGACTCCTCGTTGAACATGGAGCCTGACTTGGGGCTCGATCTCACAACCCTGAGATCATGACCTGAGTCTTAACTGACTGAGCCATCCAGGCGCCCCAGGAGGAGTTTTTTTTACTCACATAGAAGATTGGACTAATACAGGCATTCTCAGCCTTAGCTGCCAGTTAGAATCATCTTGGGTACTTTTTTAAAAATCTTACTATTTTTTTTTAAGTAGGCTCCATGCCCAATGGGAGGCTTGAACTCGTGACCCTGAGATCAGGAGTCACATGCTCAACCGACTGAGCCAGCCTGGCGGCCTTTCAGGGGCACTTTATTTATTTATTTATTTTTTCCAAAGATTTTATTTATTTATTTGACAGAGAGAGACACAGTGAGAGAGGGAACACAAGCAGGGGGAGTGGCAGAGGGAAAAGCAGGCTCCCCACGGAGGAGGGAGCCCGATGCGGGGCTCGATCCCAGGACCCCGAGATCATGACCTGAGCCAAAGGCAGCCACCCAACCAACTGAGCCACCCAGGCACCCCTGTCAGGGGTACTTTAAAGGGCCAGTGTCCAGACCTTCCCCTAGGCCATTTAATTCACATTCTCTGGGAGGGGGACCAAGGCATTGGGATTTTTTTTTTTTTTTTTTTTAAACTCTATAGGCGATTTCATTGTGCAGCCCAGATTAGCAGTCGGTGCATTAGAAATGGGGATGGTAAATTTTATGGCCTTTGGACCAAATCTAGCCCCCCCACCTCTTTTTGTAAATAAAGTTTCATTGGAACACAGTGTCATCAATTTGTTTACATATATATGGCCACTTTGGCAGCAGAGCCTATATGGCCTGCAGAGCCCAATTTACTCTCTAGTGTTTTACAGAAAAAGTTTGTTGGCTCCTGGTAGAGTAGATGGTGTTTTGTTTTTTTTTTTGGTAACTGCTGTGTGGAACATTATTGAGGACACCGATGGAAAGTGGTTTTGTGAGATACTTCTTTGACAACTTTATACTTGAAAGGCTGCCTTTCCCCTTAGGAATCCAGCCCGCTTTCTCATTTCTGAAAGCGGAAGTTATGAGACAGGCTTCATATCCTTCCCCCCCTTTCCTGTCATGTCTGCAGCTTAACTGTTGAAACCTTAAGTCCTCCTCGTCCTGCTCTTGAATTGGAGGTTTCTTTTTTCTTTCGGTTTCCCTGGTCCTCTTCCTCCTCCTTTTTCACCTTGCTGTTTTTTTTAAATATTTTTTTTTTTAAAGATTTTTATTTATTTATTTGACAGAGAGAGAGACAGCGAGAGAGGGAACACAAGCAAGGGGGAGTGGGAGAGGGAGAAGCAGGCCTCCCGCCAAGCAGGGAGCCCGACATGGGGCTCAATCCCAGGACCCTGGGATCATGACCCGAGCCGAAGGCAGATGCTTAACCGACTGAGCCACCCAGGCGCCCCTCACCTTGCTGTTTTATTACTGTTTCACTCTGTGTGTTCTCTTTGTAAGGTGCTTCTCGGGTGAATTTGCATGAAGATTCTTTCCCCCATTCCGAAGTGCTTGTGCCTTTACCCCATCCTCTCTGTGAGCATGTCCAGTCCTGTACACACATACGCACACGGATGCTCACGCACGTGGACACACACACTCCCAGGTTGATAATGATTTTAGAGCCTTAGAGACCTTTCTCACAGGACAAGGATGGTATTTGCTTGCTGTAAGCAACTCACACCCGGAATCTCCCTGAGGGCTGCCACCCCCCCCCCCCCGAGTATGTTTTTGGGAAAGGGCCCTTCCTAATCTTACCTTGGTGGGGACCTCATTATGGTGATAAATCATCGTGGAACCGTTCATTGCTCTGGTTAGCTGCGAGTGGGCTGGGTGGGGCTCTTGGGAGGCTGCCTCCCTCCAGTCGCTTTAAAGGAACAAATCTCTAGGTATGCAGGGTGAGAGACTGCCCTGTTCTTGGGCGAAGGGGAAGGTGTGTGGGTCATGTTGGAAAATGGAAACGAGAAGAGAGTGAAGGTTTTGAGCAGCCCTCGTAGTCCAGCCCTCAGACTATACCCTGGTGTCTTGCACAGCCTGCTGGTTGGAGGTGGCACTTGGAGTGGGGTAGCAGGGAAGTGGAGGACATCTGAGAGTGAGCTCCTGGGTGAGGGCAGCAGGCTCAGAGGTGACTTCTTGTCTTTGTCCTTGATGGATGCCACACGCTTTCCAGTTGTTTTTCTGGGATCGGCCAGGGCAGGGCGTGTACCCCGCATTTTCTGCTTGGGGTCGTTTGGAGAGGGAGGGGACACGCCAGAGGATGGCAGGCAGGGTGGCTGAAAGTGCTCCCTGCCTGTGAAGTCTCATTGCATTCTGGGACTGTGCAGACACCTTCGTTTTGTCCCTTTCTTCTGTTTCGGGGGGTACTAGAGGAGGTGGGGAAGGAATTCAAGCAATGCAAGCTCACAGACCCTTGGAATCTGATCTAGTTGGTCATATAAGGAGCCCATGGCCGAAGTGGGGAGGGCAGCCGGACCCCTGGCCCTGAATCCTCCGTCAGAGGCCTTTGCCTGGGACTAGGGTGAGGAGCTTGCACCGTATCTGAGCGAGAAGACACAGGTTGAATATCCAGGGCTAATCTGTTCACCTGTCTTCAGATGGATGCCTGGGCCAAAAGGAGGAGGTCTGCCTCTCTGGCATTCGCCGGCCTTTTCTGACTTGAGCTCCAGTCTCGGTCGACTAGGAACAAAAAGTGAAGTCTGTGGTAAATGAGGAATTGGGCCTCCAGTTACGTGTGTGTGCTCTGGGGTGGGCTTGTGGGGGGGAGGCGCTCAGGGTCTCTTGGGTACAAGCCCTCTCTGATCTCAGCCTGTGTTAAAAAACACACTCTGGCCAGGCTCGATGTGACTTTGCTGATAGTGAGATTGAATATATTACTGTAACCTTAGGCTTTCGAGCTCCCTAATGACGCGGAGTTCCACAGACAACCATCTGGCTGGATTGTGCATTTTAAATATTGAAAGCCACCCAGGCGACTGTTCAGCAGACTGGGTAAATCTGCCAAATGTGTTCGCGGGCTATTATCTCCAAATCAGCCCGTCATCGAGCAGATGATGTTGTTGGGACAAACAGTAAGAAGGTTTGAGGTTTCTCTCCCCGCCGTGTTCTAGAGCGCGTGTTTGCGAGAAGGAAGCTAAGCGGTGAGTGTTGCCTGTTCCTCCGGCCAGCGCCTGCTTGACGAGGGGTGACCGTGTCTTCCAGATCGGAGCAAGGCCGAGATGGACCTGAAGGAGCTGAGCGAGTCGGTCCAGCAGCAGACGGCGCCTGTTCCTCTCATCTCCCCTAAGCGGCAGATTCGCAGCAGGTTCCAGCTAAATCTCGACAAGACCATAGAGAGTTGCAAAGCACAATTAGGTATGTCCTTTGGTTTGCTCGCCCAGGCACTGTCACCACCATCACCGTTAACTCTTTGTAGGGTCACGGCCCGAATGAAGCCAGAGTTGGACCTTAGCTGCTGTTAGCAGCTGCTTGACCTTGGCCTTGTGTGTGCTACTAAAGTATAGCTCCACTCAGGGCAGAATGTTTCAGATTTGCTAGTTAGTGGTTCAGAAGAGTTCTTTGTGGGGTTTTTTGTTTGTTTGTTTAAGATTATTTATTTGAGGGAGAGAAATCACAAGTGCGGGCGAGGGGCAGAGGGCGAGGGAGAAGCCGACTCCCTGCTGAGCAGGGAGCCCGATGCGGGGCTCGATCCCCGGACCCTGAGATCATGACCTGAGCCAAAGGCAGATGCTTAACCAACTGAGCCACCCATGCGCCCCTAGAAGGGTTCTTTGAATTCCACCCAGCTTATTCTCTGGTTGTGGCAGCCTGCAGACTTGAGGTGCAGGTGGTAGGGGATTTTGAAAGTGGAAGGATCCTCCTGAGTTTGCCCCTGTGCTCCCTGTCCGTGCACGTCAGGTTCCTACTGTCAGGATCAAGTGTGTTCCACACATGTCCAACACAAACTCTTCTGCTGCGGCCTGAGCCCTTCCCACCTGGCACACGTGTCCTGCTTCTATACCTGTTGCCTCCCTTCCTCTTCCCTGTGCTGCCTGCCTTCACACTGCCTACCTAAATCCTTTCCCTAAGGCTGAGCTCCGGCATCACCTCCTCCAGGAAGTCTCTTCTGATTGCCCTCCCCTCCCCATCTGCCACCTCCCGTGGCACTTTACTGCTTGGAAGCATCCGCAGTCTCTGTGTTGGGAGAGGGGTTCCCTTTGCACTGGAAGCTAGACTGGAAGCTCCTAGAGGACAGGGAGGTTGCCTTATAAGCATTTATGTTCTCCACGGTACTTGGTCTTGTGTACATAGTAGATGCTCTGGAATATTTGTTGACGAAGTAAACAAAGCCAGGAGGGTGTTTGCAGAGAAGTAGGGGATGGCTGGCCTCAGGAGAGAGAGCCACACCAGGGTGAGGTTTACAGTGTCTGGGTTCCCTGGGCCTTGGGATGAGTAAGCTGTAGTCAGGAGTCATCCAGAAGGGCCAGAGGAGGACATTCCTTGTTGGATTTTCTGTTTGGTTAGGACTTTGAATGGCATGGCTGAAATTTTGCAGGCCATTTAAATAAGCACCTTGGGTCCTTCCATGCAGCTGGTCTAACTCCTCGATTTATTATTAATGTTAATAAGAATTTTAATATTTCTGTTTACCGACTGTTTCCTGCATATCTTGCACTGTACTGTGCACGGTGCATAGATTGTCCTGGGAGGTTGATACCATTATCAGTCCCATTTTGCAGATGAAGAAACTGAGGCTTAGAGAGAGCTAGGTCACTAGTTCAGTGTCACACAGTGAATAAAAGTGCAAGAGCAAGATTTGAATTCATGGCCTTTGGGCTCTGGTATCCAAGCCTTTCTTATCACAAATGTGGTCACATTTGTACTTGTGTCTGATTGTTAACTACAGTAGCATAAGCCTTAGGGACCCAGAAGTTATACCAGATCTGAGTTTCTGTATTTTGGCTTCTCCTGGTTTGGATTGAGCCCTGGGTGGAGGCATATAATTCTATAATGATTTTGCTGGGCTGCTCATGGTTTTTGTCTGTTTGCAGGTTTCCTTTCAGTGTGTCTGGGTCAGGACAGTGACCTCATTCATAGTGGCCATGGCTCTAGAATGAAGAAGTACAGATTGGGTTTTTCTCATTTCAGCATTTTAGGGTATAGTATTGTTTACCTGCGGCCAGATGCCACTCATTATTGGGAGCAGGACACATAAATGGGTTAAATGGAATATGCTTTTGCCCATTTGTGTGTGTGTGTGTGTGTGAGAGAGAGAGAGTGAGAAACACCTGCTACGTTGTCATTCTGTCTGGCTTTGGATAGAGATGTGGAGATGCGTGACTTTGTTCTTGACTCCGCTGTCCGTGGAAGAACAGGGCGGACAAGATGGCAGCTCGCCTCTGCATCAGCTCAGGGAGCAGGAGGGAGGGCTGGGCGCTGGGGTCAGCTGGAGGGATGGCGTGTCCCTGAGGGAAGCAGCCAGTGGCTTCGTGGCTCCAGCCAGCCATTGCCTTGTAGGCCTGTGACCCAGAGTGGCCAGATCCTCTGCTCTTTCCACACAAGCCTGCTGTCTTGATTTCTGGGTGAAATTTCCTGACTTGTGAATTGGGCAATATGGTCGTTCTAAGTGAAAAACAAACAAACAACAAAATACCTGCTGGGCCAAGCTCTTGCTTTCTACATAACATTTGTGTGCTGGCCAGATGTGGCTTGTGGGCTGTGAGTTGGCAATCTTTGCTTTAAGGCTTTGGTTTATTTCTTGGAGGCCTGGACACAAAGGGAAAAGGACTTGAATGCTTTGGGAATTCGCAGGAACAGTGCTGGTGGTCCATCAGGAGCCCAGTGTTCTGGCCTTCCCTCTGTCTTGGTTTTCTTTATGTCCTAGGATAAAGTGATTTCTCTGGGCCTCTATTTTCTGATCTGTAAAATGGATCCGTTTTAACAGCTCATCTCTGTTGTTCCCTTCAATCCCTCCCATTCTCTACATCCCAATTAGTTATCAGTGATGCAAAGATGTAGCTCCGGATAAATTTAAAATTTACGTTGTCTGGTCCCTTGTCATCTTTGAATGTCAGTAACTGAAACCCTCTGCAAACCCAAGTTCCATTTGTCAGCTGCAGCTAGCTCACTGGTAACCCCACCAGGCCAGTGTGATGAGATTTGAAATGGTTTTTTTTTTTTTTATTCCAGCATTTGGCGTGGAAAATGTTTGCGTTGTAGGTCCTGCTCTTTATTTTGTGACTACGCCACATGCTGGGTTTTCTCTTTGAATTTAGGCATAAACGAAATCTCAGAAGATGTTTACACGGCCGTAGAGCACAGTGATTCGGAAGATTCCGAGAAGTCTGATAGTAGCGATAGTGAGTATATCAGTGACGATGAGCAGAAGTCCAAGAATGAGCCAGAAGACGCAGAAGACAAAGAGGGTAGTCAGATGGACAAAGAGCCATCGGCTGTCAAAAAAAAGCCCAAACTGGCCAACCCTGTGGAGACTAAGGAGGAGCTGAAAAGCACATCACCAGCCAGCGAGAAAGCTGATCCGGGCTCGGTCAAGGAAAAGGCAAGCCCCCAGCCTGAGAAGGACTTTTCAGAAAAAGCGAAAGCCTCCCCTCATCCCACAAAGGATAAACTGAAGGGGAAAGATGAGACCGATTCCCCAACAGTACATTTGGGCCTGGACTCCGATTCAGAAAGTGAACTTGTCATAGATTTAGGAGAAGACCATTCTGGGCGGGAGGGTCGTAAAAATAAGAAGGAACCCAAAGAAACATCTCCCAAGCAGGATGGTAAGTGATCGCACCAGTTTCCGGTTTCTTGATTTGGTTTAGAGTGCCACCTTGCATTTGTATTTCCAGAAGTTATGTGACCCTCCGACGTCACAAAGGGAGGCACCAGAGCGGAGCTTTGATTGGCTCCGGGTCACCTAGCTAAGTCACTGATCAGGCCAGGACTGACTTCCCCTGGGGCCTGCCTGCCTTTCATCTGCTTAGTACCCAACGTGGTTGATTCTGGTCCCAGAAAAGTAAAAAACGGTAGGTGTTTCTAGCAGCAAGGTCATTTTTAGCCGAAGCACCTGCTTTCCCAATAGGCTCACTCATTTCTCTCAAGTGTTTGTCAACGTTTAGACATGTGACAAGGTTGATATTGTTAGAAAAGTTCAATTCAAAGATCTTGAGGAGTTCAGCTCCCTTTCTTCCCTTCATGCTGCCCAGGCACCTCCCCAGTGCATTTTCTTACTGGAATTAGGAGACCACTTAGGGAGGTGGTACCAGAATGCCGAGCGCTCCTTGGGGCGTTGGATGGCGGGCACTTGAATTGGTGTTCCACCACATATGTGTTTCACTGACACACTGTTGACATTTTGTGCAGAGTAATACTTTATATCCTGTGCACTGGGGAATGTTTAATAGCATCCTGGGCCTCTACCCACCGGATGCCAGGAGCATCTGCCCAGTTGTGGCTGTGAGAGATGTCTTGACGTTGCCATTGGTTCCCTGGGAGGCAAGATCTCCTCCAGAAGGAAAGTGTGCATGATGGGAAAGGTGTCCTTCCCATGGACAAAACAGTCAGCACATTTTCCAGTTGGTTTTGGCAAGTGGGTATGAAGGGATTCCAACATGCCCAAGAAAGATATAATTGAAGAGTTAATTAAGGGCCCAGGAAAAACATTGCCTAAGGACAAACTGGAGGTTATAGCCACAGAACTTTATGTACTCTGTGAGTACCCGAAGGAATAGTCAGGCTTGATTTTTGACCATGCCCAACTGTTGACAGGAGCGGACTTCTCAGCCAAATTCTTGAGTAAGATGTGATTCTGAGTCTGGCTGCTTAGAGCAAGTCGGGGATGGGCCTTGAGAATCTTCTTTGTCCTTGTCCACCTGGGATGCTATGGAACCTCCGTTGTTAGGGAGCGAGAATTCTTGTAGTTCTTCAGAAGAGGATGGAATGTCTCTGAATGGTGCAGTGGAGGGAGAAAGAGAAGCAGTTGAGTGGGGCAGGGAGGATAGACTAGCACACCATTCCCGGGTCACTTTAGATTTACGGATGGCCTCTGAAAAATCAGATGATGGGTTGTGGATTGGGATTTGAGGCAGATGTGGCAGAAAACAATAGGGGAGTAGCATTTATTCCATGAGGTTTATGGGAATATTTCGGTACAGGCATGGCAGTGCTCCTATGAATGATACAGTTACATTGTTCCTTATTTTCTGGAACATACCTTTGGATGGATTGGTTTTATGCCTCTTCCCCTTCCAGAAAGAATCTGGAACAGATTGACAGTATTTGACCATGAAACAAAATGTAAATAAAGTCTGTAAAAGATGAAAGTAGAATAGTAAGCGGTCTGGGAAAGTTTATGCACAGAAATATGTTCTAGCCTTCAGAGTTAGCATAGTTGGGCTTTCATTTTGGCTGTGAGCTTCCTAGCAGTCAAAGCAACAAGGGAATTACAGTCCCTTAAAGGATCTCCTATTTTTCCAAAAAAAACCAAAACCAAACCAAAACAAAACAAAACAAAAAAACCCAGTTGAGACACAGCTCTTCCTTGCACTGATGTCTGAAGGAAATATGTCTGGGAGACCCCAAGTGTGTGGTGTATGTAATTAAGCTGAAGATGATTCTTTTTTTTTAAAAGATTTTATTTATCCATTTGCCAGAGAGAGACACAGCAAGAGAGGGAACACAAGCAGGGGGAGTGGGAGAGGGCCCACGGAGCAGGGAGCCCGATGCGGAGCTCGATCCCAGCACCCTGGGATCATGACCTGAGCTGAAGGCAGACGCCTAACGACTGAGCCACCGAGGCGCCCCAAGCTGAAGATGATCCTAAAACATAATTCAGATAGGGCATCGTCCCAGGGGTTGGGACAAAGACCTGCCAGTCTTAAATTTAGAGCCCCTTGGTGGTTGTTTGGGTCTTGAAGAATCAGCTTTGTATCATACTCTGCAGTAGAGCCATTTTTTTCAACGTTGTGTTTTCACTTACGAGTTTATTAAGTGAAGGGCATTTTACAGTGTGCCTTCAGTTCACCTTCAGCTGGGAATGCAGCTTATGTGTAGAATTTGGAGCCTTAGGTAGCAAAACTGCTTTCTAGCTGGTGATCTCAGAATCGAGGCAAAGAGAGAGCTTCCATAGAGACCTTGCTGTGCTTACCTTACAACATCAGTAATTTCCATCCTTCTTTTAGAAAGCCTACCCTTTAGGTACTAGACATTGACCAGACTCTAGAATCAGTAGGTTAATAAGTAGGGGCAGGTTCTGCAATGGTGGCCCTTAAGAGATTCCCCCTTTTCTGGGCTACATAGGTGATTTGATTATACATTCCAAAATTCTAGGACAAATGGAATTTCCTATGGCCTCTTTTTTTCCCTTCTGTAAACTGCTAGAATCTTCTAGAAATCAAAATATTTTAGTGTCTAAGTAGTAACCCCAAAGGGTGCCTCGGGCCTAGAATCTTTTTGGATTGCACACTCCAGGTTTTTATTTGGAACAGAGAGCCATCCATGGCCACTGTAGAGCAGCAACCCATCTGCGAAGCCAGCTGTTTGTTTCTGCAAATCAGTAGCGAGAGGAGGACCTACTGTCTGAGGAGAGGGGCTAGGCTTGGTCCTCAACAGTAACGGGATATTTTTTGGTCACCTGGGAGGAAAGGGAGGCAGGTAAAGTGCTTCTGCAGGTTAGAAACCCTTCCGGGGGACCACCCTGGTAAACCGCTCCTAGAAAACCTGGGTTCAAAGCCCCCTCTCCACCTGCAAGGTGCAGGGGCTGTATCCAGTGTCTGGTGCGTCATATCATCCCGGGGAAAGATCAGGGCTCATCACTGCATGGAGAGCTCCCCTTCCAGCTCCACCTGCGCCCTTGCCTATGAACTTGGGGGGGCCCAGAGGAGCAGGAGGGCAGAGGAGGGCTAGGCAGATGTGATGACCAACAAGAAATTCCCCCGCACCAGAGTCAGGAAAGTCAGCTTGTTTGTTTTTTTTTCTCTCTCATTCTCCTTGACTTCCTAAAATCCAGTGTACTGAAAATCCTCCCTAGCATAATCAAGATCAGGTCTTTTCCGGGTTACATAAATCTAAAAGAACAGACATAATCCTCCTTCAAAGTTGCTTATGTCAAGGTACATTGTCTCCCACATGGGTGCTGACTTGTACCCGTGTTTTGGGTGTGATCCACGGGCATCCTTTCGGTGGGGGGGGGAGGCAGACCCACCCCACTGGTGGCTGGGACCTCTGCAGTGATACCTGACCCCACCCCCTTTACAGATGAGCGCGACGGGGCCACCCCTTCTGGGCTGCTCAGTGCTTCTGGCTCTAACCCGCCTTCCCGCCACTCCTCACTGCCTACTCTCACTGACCGAAATGCTGCCTGTTCCTAAACACGTGTTGGCTGATGCTCTCACCCCCCAAACTCTCAATTTTGCCTGTTGAAATCCTACCCCTCCACCACACCCGCCCCCTCCCAGAAGACCGACTCTGGAAGGCAGCCTTTTCCAAATTTGTCATTCACAGTTCATTAGTTTGGCCATTCCCAAGTCCTGCTTGTATAATTCTTGACTTTATGTTTTTATTTAAAGCAACTTACGCTTTACAAAAGAATTAAGCTCATTTTAGATGTAGATTTGACCACCGCACAAGAGGTAAACCAGTATTGCCTGATAAAAGGTGGCAGCGGGAATACAGTCAGAGTAAAAGCAAGGCGTATACTGACCATGGTGAGCACTCAGTAATATGTAAGCATTGTCGAATCACGATATCGTACACCTGCAACAAATAGAACACTGTGTGTTCACTGTATTGGAATTAAAATAAAAAAAAACCATAATAAAACAATAACAGCAACAACCATAGCAACAAAAGCAAGTCTCCTGACTTAGAGAGCAATACCATTGTGTTGGGAAGGTTCTGGCTATGGGGTCGAATTCCCTTTAGTGTGAGGTGTCAAGGCCGTTAGCAGCTCACTGGGACTTTGTCCCGGAGGGTGTCAGAGGTCAAGGGAGACTTTCTTTCTGGGTGACTTCATGGTGTTCAGTGCTTTGGCCTTTGGGAAGTCACCTGATGCTTGGGAGTACATGTTCCCTAGTCGAAGGGATGGTCTTCACCTCTGGATCGACTTTGGCTGGGTCTTCCACAAAGTGCTTACCTGGCTCCAACTATAAAACAAACCATGTGCAGTCATTTTGTTCATCCAGTCATTGGTGGGCAGCTTGAGGGCAGGGGCTGGGTCTAGTTCAGCCCATTTTCCCCAGAGGCCCCTATAGGAGTCTCAGATGTGGGCAAGTGCCCACAAGAAACGGCCGACACTCTGAGGAAGATGTGCAGAGGCAGACTGTGTGCCTAAGGTGAGATGTGCTCCTCCACCGGGGGGTCCTTGCCCTGCTGAGTTTGTTCGGCATTCGTGGCTGGCCTTGCTCCGTTTGACCCGGAACGTGCTGGCGTAGACAGACGCTGCGGGCCAGCCTGAGTCCAATCTCCACTTTTTGTCTGTTTGTTTTCATGCATCGGCTTTAGTTGTAGGTAAAGCTCCGCCATCCACCACAGCGGGCAGCCAGTCCCCGCCTGAAACTCCGCTCCTCACCCGCTCCTCCTCCCAAACTCCCACGGCCGGTGTCACGGCCACCACCAGCACCACGTCCACCGTCACGGCCCCGGCCACCGCCGCCGCCACCACGGGAAGCCCGGTGAAAAAGCAGAGGCCGCTTTTACCGAAGGAGACTGCCCCGGCCGTGCAGCGGGTCGTGTGGAACTCGTCAAGTAAGTTTCAAACGTCTTCCCAAAAGTGGCACATGCAGAAGATACAGCGCCAGCAGCAGAACCAGCAGCAGAACCAGCAGCCTCAGTCTTCCCAGGGGACGAGATATCAGACCAGACAGGCTGTGAAAGGTACCACGCCCCCTTCTGTTCAACGTGGCGCCCACTCCCTTCTTGCCACATCGACAGGAGAGACAGAATTGTTTTCTTTCTTTTTCTTTTTTTTTTTTTTTCAGTTCCTTTTTGTTTCGTGGCCGTCGTATCTTGAAGACCTCACGCATCCCATGTGGCATTATTTTTAAAGATTGTTTTGCGACTTGTTTTTTCACTTTTATTTTTTTTTTTTTCCCTCCGTTGTTAGAAACAAGACGTGCATATAGGCTTCTTCGGAATGGGGTAAAATATTTGCCCCGCAATCTGTTGTCTTGACCGAACTTCCATTTCATTCTTCACCCTTTCTCAGCGGCCACTGTTAACCGTAAAACCTTTTTTATGCATGTATGCATATATATTTACGTATATATGACTCTCCATACAAATAGTACTTTTTTTTTTTTTCCTTTTTTTAAAACATAAAAATGGTACCATACTTGCTTTTTTATTTTTCTTCTTCTTCTTCTTTTTTTTTTTTTACCCATCAGCATGTTTTGGAGGTTCATCCATGTTAGTTATCTATCTACGTTATTCTTTTGGACTGCTGCATAGTATTCCACAGTTGATTTAAATCAAGTATTCCCCTGCTGATGAGCATTTAGATTGCTCCCAGTTTTTTTCTGTTGTAAGCAGTGCTGCAATGAATACCTTTGTGTAAGTTTTCTTGTGCCCACCCCTGAACCTCTTGGCATTATTTCAGGAAGAGGGCAGTGTGAGGAGTTGGTAGCAAAGGGTACCTTAATCACTAGGGATTAGCCACCTCCAGAAGAACAGCCAGCATCACGCACCAGTGGCTGAAGTGGGTTGATCTGGTGCTGCTCAGATGAGTACCTGTCGGCCCATCTTTTGTGAGCGCTGATGCTGATCTTGTCCCGCAGGGAAGCCCGCCATCTAGATCCTTGGAGGTTGGGGTCTTCGGTTGAAACTCTCACATACTGAGTGCACCCTAGTGAGTAGAGCTGTAAAGAGCTGCAGCTATGGGTTGAAAGGTAGCCAGGTCTTGAACAGCCCCAAAGAACCCATGGAAGACGGTGGGAAGGAGGACTGACAGATTGGTCAGGCACAGTGGGGGCGCAGCTGGAGTGCTCTTGGAATTTAAAGAGCTAGTGGGGCAGGAGTGAATCTAGGATATTTGAGATTGGGATGACTATAGTTCCAGTTTTTCTGTGTTCGTACCCTGTAAGAATTATGAGGTTCCCCAGGGGAACTTAGGTGCTGTCAAGAAGAGGCCCATTGATGGTATGGTTCTCAGTTTCCAGATTGTCTTGTGTCAAAGACAGACAAAGCTGGATACTAGTGAAAGGGGTAAGGACTGGTTTGAATCAGTATCTGTTATTACGATAGGGAGAAAAAAGTCCAGCATGAACTGACGTTAATCCCAATTTCTACAGAGGTGACTGGGTGTTTTAAAGGGAGAAGGGGCGCGGAGGTAGGGAAGGGGTTGAGTGGGCACTCCAGTAGAGTCAGGGACATGAAATTTGACAAAGAATGGGAAGTGGGGGGGTTGGTTCATGTGAAACCCACGTGGGGTTGCTAACTGATGCTTCTTGAAGTTAGGTTCTTACCCTCCCGTAGAGACTGGGAGACAGGGGCCATAGGGTATTGGCTGGAACAAATAGTAAATTCATTTGGCAGCCTCTTCCTAGGGGTGCGGTCTTGAGCTTTCAGAAACCATGTTATTGTTTACACAAGGCTTTACGGGCCAAGCTTGAGGCATCATCCCAGAAAAGGCTGAGAGGGTCCTGGCCAGAGTCTGGTCAAGGGGAGAATGTCTGTCACTTGAACGTAGACATGCTCAAAGGGTGTATGTCAGGGACTTCACTCCCTCTGCGCAGCTTCATGCTGGGTCGGGCCTTTCCCGTGACAGTGGGGTGACCAGGACGCTTTGCTTTCCCAGCTGTGCAGCAGAAGGAGATCACGCAGAGCCCATCCACCTCCACCATCACCCTGGTGACCAGCACTCAGTCGTCGCCCCTGGTCACCAGCTCAGGGTCCACGAGCACCCTTGCATCCTCAGTCAGCGCAGACCTGCCCATCGCCACTGCTTCCGCTGACGTCGCTGCGGACATTGCCAAGTACACTAGCAAAGTGAGTGCCAGTAGCATCCGGGGGTGGGGGTGGGGGCTCAGACGACCCGCTTCCTGATGGGAGCCAGAAGGATCTTGACCTTGCAGGCTTTCCAGGGTGCTTCGGAGGGGAGACCCTGTTTTTCTTGAGGCTCTCCAAGCCCACATTCTTCCATTTGGGTCTCAAGTTGGATCCAAGCAGAGAAATCTAGAATGCACTGCATCTTATTCTGAGGGCTTTGATGCTAAAGTCAGTATACAGTGGGAAAATGACATGGCGTCAGAATTACCCTTCAGAATTCATGGCACTCATCGAGACGGTTTCCTTAAGCGCTGGGACGAGTTACTGTTCCGTCAGTTAATAACAGACCAAGGGGTTGGTTTGCATCTAGAAGCCATGTGGAACAAAGGGACAGAATCGTAAGCATGAGATGTGTAAGGTACGACGCTCACATCTAGGTTTTTCCAGGAACCAAGATGGCCTAGGGAGTAGTGGCATCCCTCCCGATGCGCCCACCCTCGGGGGCATGGTGGCAGGAATCCCCTCGGTGGGTTCATTTGTGGGTGTTCTCTCCTGCAGGCTCTTTCTCTGAATTTGCCAGGTGCTTCTGTGCTCACTGTTGAATTCAGGTGGATACATCCTGCAGCTCTTCTCACCGTCCCGTGAGCGTGCTCTGGCGTTTTTGTGCGGGTCCGTGTGACACGCTGCTTCATAGCAGAATAACCACCAGAATGTCAGCTCCACGAGAGCAGTATCTTGTCTGTTTGGCTTACCTCCAGGGCCTAGAAAAGTGCCCGCACACAGTAGGTGTCGACATAGAGCTGTCGAGTGAATGCCTGCGGGTGCCTGACGCCTCTTCACCAGGCTTGTTACTCTCAGTGGCTATTAATAGTAGTTCATGAGTAATAACCTAGGAAGAGTATTTAGTATATGACTAAGCAGGCAGTAGTAATAATTTACTCTTCCCAAATGAGTATATTACTAATTAGTGATGAGTAAATTATTCAGGTTTCTAGAAAGAGTGGGTGACAGTCATTGGGAATAGTTCGATCTCGAATTCTTGAAGTCTTTTAATAAAGAGTTGCGTTATTATGTTGGGTTAAAGGTAGGCTCCCTTTTAGTTCTGGATGACAAGAGACACTTACATTCTTTTACCGGTGTGTTTTTGTTAGTCATTTTCTTTTTATCCCTTCTCTCAAGGTGTATCAGGTATTGCTGCATAACAAATTACCACAAAACACAGCAACTGAAAACAACTCATATTTCTTATCTCAGGGTTTCTGCGGTCAGGAGTCGGCATGGCTCAGCTGGGTCCTCTGCTTTGTGAATTCCCATGAAGCCTACTGACCACAGATGTTCAGTGTCCATGAACTCATTGTTCTTGCATGTGGCTTTTTTAAGCAACCCTACATAACATCCCCCCGCTCCCCCAGTCTCCCCCTCACCCCAGCTAGAATCAGAACTGGTCTCGGGGATGACTTTTTCTCTCCCATTTACTATGTCTGTCCTCCTTTTGAATAAAATGCGTGTGTCAGAACAGCCAGGATTCAAGGTATAGTCATTGATGGCCATTCTCAAGATTTTAGTCTTACCTATCCACCAATGAGTTATTGATACAGTATTTTTATTTAAGTTAAATTTAATTTTATTTAAATTGACTTCGTTGAAGAACTAAAATAAAATTGAGCTTAATATTGTCAGATCACCCTTCCTTGTCAAGACTTGAAGCCCAAGTCTTTGTTCCTTTGGTTAAAAAGATAGATTGTCATATAAGTGTTTGGTACATATTGGAACCAAACTGAGACTTTCTTCCTAATGGGATGTGCAGAGTTACAGGAGACTGGAAAGGGGGGTCATGTTTTCATTACTGATTTAAGAAGGTGTCTGGTATTGTCTAAATGGTCCCTTGTTCTGCTTGTAGTCCAGCCTTATACCACCTTTCATTGATTTGGTCCAAGCCGCCTATTTACAGATGGGGAAACTGATGCCCGTTAAGTGGCTCTAGCTAGTTTTCTGAGCTCTTGCATTTAGTTTTATTCTATTACCTTTGGCTGCCCATTTTGCTCTTACAGCAAAATTGAGGGGTGAACGTCTTTTTTTTTTTTTTTAAAGATTTTTATTTATTTATTGAGAGAGATAGTGATAGAGAGAGATCATGAGGGGGGAGAGTCAGAGGGAGAAGCAGACTCTCCGCTGAGCAGGGAGCCCGATGCGGGACTCGATCCCAGGACTCCAGGATCATGACCTGAGCCAAAGGCAGTCGCTTAAACAACTGAGCCACCCAGGCACCCTGAGGGATGAACTTCTTGATAGACATTGTCTTTACAGTTAAGAAAATGAACACAGTGAAATATTTTTGGAGCTGATGAACTTTCCTCTCTCCAAGGTGACCTGGAGTCGAAGACCCAGATTTGTGTGTTTTGGCAGAAGGGTGCTCTTTAGTAATGTTGCGTCCTTTGCTGTATTTGGAAGAAAGAGTGAGAGTCCGTCCACAAATCCATGATTTCTTTAAAATGGAATGTAACCATTGCATTAGTAATGTATTGAATTTCATCCGCTTTCTAAAGTTTTCTTGTAAAGCCATTTTGTTTTAATACTTTAAATTGACATGGTTGGTGCAGTGGGGCAGGAAGGCCCATACAGAGCGACTGCATAAAGCACGAAGTGTTTTTCCTGGCACCGTCCATGTGTGGCCCCCGAAACAAGTTAGGAGTGGAAATCTCCAGACGTCGTATTCATTTTCTTCCCATTTTGGGGTGAATTTGGGGATTACTATTTTGGGGGTTGGCGGTTTCATAGTTAACTCGTGTGAATTTTTTTTCTGTAGAGATAAACAGGTATTTCTGAACACCTGCCCTGAACCATAGTCTTCACACGGATTTCTCACGTCATCTTTGTGCACACCCTACCTGGGGTACTGCAGTTATCCTTGTTTTCTACATGGGGAATCCAAGGCTCAGAGAGAGGATGATGATGGGAGCAAATCTCGGGCATCAGAGACGGGTGGTCTGTGTCTTGCCTTCTCGCTGGATTGCAGCAAACTGCAAAACACAGTGGAGACTTGGCAGTGACCAGGCCATGCCTAGAGGCCTTGTTTGGTCTCCTGTCCCCTCCTCTTTCTCCTGTGGTGGGCGTGGGATCAGCCAGCAAGTGGGAGGTAGGAGAGAAGTCATCCTGCAGACACTATTCAGTCAGTAGATAACTAGGTGCTTGCTGCGGGGACCTGAGCTGATGTCACAAACTTGCTGATGCCGTCGGGGCTCAGATGCTTAAAGCAAAGGAAGAGGGGAAGCAAACTGGAGAGGCAGTGAATGAATGCCCTGACCCTTCAGATGAGCCTGTGGTTACAGAAACTAGCTTTATTTGTAGGTGATTCATTACTCCCCTGGTTTATACCAGTTCCTCAACCTCAGCACTGGTGACACTTTGGCCTGGAGAAGTCTTTGTTGTGGCGGCTGTTCTGTGCGCTGTAGGGAATTTAGCTCATCCTTGGCCTTCACCCAGTAGATGCCATCTTCCCCGCCCCCCTCTGCCACAACAGCCACAGATGCCAAACGTCCTGTGAGGGGCAGAATAGCCCCCTGTTGAGAATCACTGCTTTATGTTAGATAGATTTTAGATGTCTGTCCTCTTGAAAAGCCTCAGGGAAGTGAACACCCGAATTGTTTCTGTTTTTATCTTTCAGATGATGGATGCAATAAAAGGAACGATGACAGAGATCTACAACGATCTTTCTAAAAACACTACGGGAAGCACAATAGCCGAGGTCAGAGATGACACATAATTCCTTACTTGCTAAGAATGTTTTATGGGCTGCTGTAAAATGGTGCCAGGAAGCAGATTTTCTGGAAGTCCCTCCAGGGTGCTCTGCCGATTGTGGTTGTTGGGGAGGGTACTTCTTCATTTAGCCAGAAGGCTGGCTCTGTGGGGACACACCCTGCTTTGTGTGATCAGAGGACAGCCCACACCGGAGCCTGAGTTCACCCCCTGGTCTGTTCCTTTGGCCCCATGTGTAGTTGTCTCTTGGCTCTCTGTAAATGTGGACTTTTTTATCCAAGTGGTTATTGTTGTCTAAGAATTCGTGTACTGAGAGCCTCCACAATCATGTGGTTGCCTAGGGAATGGAGTGGTTAAGACATTAAATTGTCCACTTATAAGTGACCATTTATAAAAATAGACCTCTTGAACTTCCTTCCTTAGGCTAATTTACTGTGAGCCAGATGCAGCGGAGTCACCAGGTGAAGTGATGAGTGGCAGGATTTCTTGAGGTCATTCAAAGTGAGGTTGGAGACCGGGAAATTCCACACAAGCTATTGACCTATGAGGGCCTGGCAGGGTTAGGATGACCCTCAGAAGAAGAAAAAATCTCTGGGAAGGTGTCCTAATAGGCTTTTGACGGAGAACGATGTGAATATAAAGCTTTGAGAGAGGTCCTGAGAGGAATCAATGAGTCCCCTGAGATTTTTTGCTCACGTGACCCTCTTTATGATTGGGCCAAGGATGTCACAAACAAGAAGGGATGATGTTGACTTAGAAAAGCACCCCCATCCCCAAATACTTCATTGTTTTTTTTGTTTGATTTAACAATTGGCATGTGGTTGGAAATACGGATCCATAATGTCTCACTTGAAACCTTGGGGTCCAGATGTGTGCCAGAAATTTTCAGAATTTAAAGAGGCAGTATGCACCCCCACCCCCAACATTTCTGCTGTGAAATATGCTTGTTCACACCTTGTGGGATAAATCAGGGTTTCTCAACCTCAGCACTGCTGACGTTTGTGCCAGATAATTCCCTGTTACGGGGGCTGCCCTGTCCATCATAGGCTGTTCAGCAGCACCTTGGCTTCTGCCTCTTGTTGGCAGTCGCACCCCTCAGCTGGGACATCCTGGATGTCTTCAGACATTGCAGTGTCCTGGAGGGAGCTGGGAGGGCAATGTTGCCATCGTAGAGAAGCACTGTGGTCCTCAAACTCTGTAAATAGCCCCATAGCAGTTCAGGTCAAGTTATTTTTTTCCCTCCAGTGACTTTCCTGCAACACTTACCCCTTCCTCCAATAATACCCTTTGGTTTCCAGAGACGTTAGGCTTTGGAATTTCAGGTGAATGACTGTGGATCCCACCTAAAATGTTAGATAAGAGATAAAGCTATCTTTGTTTTAGTTTCTTTCTTTCTTTCTTTTTTTAAAGATTTCATTTGTTGATTTGACAGAGAGAGAGAACATAAGCAAAGGGAGCAGCAGAGGGAGAGGGAGAAGCAGGCTCCCCACTGAGCAGGGAGCCCGACGTGGGGCTCAATCCTAGGACTCTGGGATCATGACCTGAGCCGAAGGCAGACGCTTAACCAACTGAGCCACCCAGGCGCCCCTAGTTTCATTTTTTTAGGCCAAAGTTATAATCAAACCTTTTATGTTTTAATTTATTATGAAAATCTGGTCCTTGTTTTTACTTCATTCATTCATTCATTCATTCATTCATGTTTAAAGTAAACTCTCTGCCCAATGTGGGACAACCCCAAGATCAAGAGTCGCCATGCTCTAGCAACTGAGCCAGCCAGGCCCCACTCCCACCCCCACCCCTGCTTGTTTTTACTTGAAGTGACTTTTCCTGGAGCCAGTATTTCTTGGAAAAGATGGACTGCTTGTATCGTTGACCCTTGAAAAATGGGTTTGAACTGTGCTCATCTATTATATGTGGATTTTTTCCAGTGCGGTACTGTAAAATGCATTTTCTCTTTCTTTTTTTTTTTTTTTAAATGTTTTTATTTTTATTTATTCATGAAAGTCAGAGAGAGAGAGAGGCAGAGGCAGAGGGAGAAGCAGGCTCCCCGCTGAGCAGGGAGCCCGATGCGGGACTCGATCCCAGGACCCTGGGATCATGA